CTTAATAATAATGAAAAAATATTAACAAACGACAATTTCTATTCTCACTTCAACAACCCTAATTTTTTTCCTTCGCTACTCAAAATGTTAGAAGCTGTATCTCCAAAGAAAAAATGTCCCAAATTGAATGTTTTTTTACCACTTATAATCTAGATATATTTGGACTCAGTGAAACTAATTTAAACTCTGCTCAAGCTCTCCATCTTTTAAAAAATTTTCACAATAAGCCATACAAATTCATCTTTTCATCAGATAATTCCCAAATTAATTTTACCAAGGTGTTGGTTTTATCATTAGATCTTATTTACATCAACATATTTTCTTTCAAAAGTTCATACTTGACAAAATTGCCTATATTGACCTCCAGTTCAAAAATAAGACCAAACTCAGAATTATCCAAATTTATCTCCCAGCTAATACTACAGATCGTGACCAATTATTACTAAGATCAAAATAGAAAATATGGTAATTAATATTATTCTAGAAGCTCAGTTTAAACCTTATCACATGGTTTTAATGGGAGATTTTAATGTTGACTTTTACAAGCTTCAACATAAATATAATAATACAAAAAGAAATAGAATCTGTAGATCCTTCATTGATAAAATTCTCAACCTCAATTTTATCCACACTGCCTCATTAATCTCAAATTCTTCAAACAAAAAATTACCTCATACATTTACCTCCTCTCAGAAAACTCATACACATATCGATTATATCTTTACTTCAATTTCTCTTTCTTACGACCTTACCTCTTTCAAAATTTTTGATTCCACTAGCACTATTCACGAATCAGACCATTTACCTTTGCATATCACGATTTATAAAAATAATATTTTCAATATTTCATTTAATGCTTATCGCAAACAACATAAGACCACATGAAAATCCTATAACTTTGCTAAGACTGCTGATAAATTAGATAAGTTAATTAAAGAATCTAAAAAATTTCAAGACCATAATATTTTTGGTTTTTCTCAAACTTCGATCAATCAGGTTTGGGAATTTTTTGTCCAATCAGTAACATGTGTTGCAAACAAACACATTCCTAAAACTACCACTACACTACACCATAAGTTCCTTTATAATTTCGATAACTCTATCATTCACAAACAAATCAAGAAACTTTATAAACTTTACCATAACATAAAAATTTTCTTAGATAAAACGTCAACTGATCCTACTTTTTCACCTTTTTCATTTATCATTTCTTCCAAAGAACACAAATCCGTCTTGACTATTGCTACAGAACATAAAATATTATCAGCTTCTTTAGATTCTTTGTTTTATCAAAAAAATCTTAATTCTTATTTTGATGATTTAAAAGCTTCTATCATCAAACCATTGGAATGTAAACTCAAATTAGTTTCTAAGTAAGAAAATAATGATTGAATCAAAGCTTTTATCTCTCAACGGGCTGACAACTATAGAGATGCCTCCTCTAAAATGATCAACTTGTATTTAGAAAGATCAAGAACCACTATCGTTCTCGATAGAATTCTCATTAATGAACCCAATCAGGACCTATATCTAGAAGTTGACCAAAAAAAGTTAAAGAAAGCTACTGCTTTACATTTCCAAACAGTTGCAGGCTCGCTAAATAAGAAAGTTACTGATCCAATGTCTCCCAACTTTTCAAATTTCTGGCCTTAATGGGAAGAATATTACTGTCCTCTTCCCACCATTAATAATGATGTTTATGATCAAATTTTAGATCCTCCTACCTATGATGAATGGCTTCTAATTATTAAAAATTTGCCTAATGACAAAGCTTCCAGCCCTTCTAATATTTCTAATGAATTTTTAAAGAAAATGGGACCTTTAGCGAACAAATTTTGTATCATATAATATGTGTGTATTTCCAATCCAGTCTCACCCCTAAGTAGTGAAACTTAGTTTACGTATATCTGATACCTAAGCTGAAACCATAGAACTGTGATCTCAATAACACACGACCTATCACTTTACTCGAAACTGTTCGTAAAGCTTTTACAAAAATTATTAACGCACGACTACAAAAGATTCTTATTGCCAACAAAGCTTTGTCCAGATTGAACTTCACAGGCCTACCGCATCAATCCACTTTGGAATCCCTACACATTATTAATAATTTGCTCAAATATCATCGTCTACAGACTAGTTCAGAAAAGTCCTACAAATAAGACCTCCATATCCTATTTTAAGACATGTCCAAAGCCTATGATAAAGTTAACATTTTTATGCTTGAAAAAGCTTTAGCCCATTTGAAATTTCCAAAAACTTTGATTTATTTGATTACGGGACTCTTTCTTAACCATTCCAATCAAAATTTTACTAACTATAGTCTTACTGATCCTTATGATGTTCTAGTAAGCATCGACCAAGGCAAAGTTATTTCTCCTCTTTTATGGGTCATATATTATGATCCTCTTTTTGATCGCATTAAAAAATCTGAACTCAGATTTAAATTGTTCACAACATGGAACCCTGATCTCGACATTTCTGAAACTGAATCTCTTAATGTCACTATCCCTGTTCTTGCATACATAGATGATACTATTTGGATTGCGGATAGTTACGATCAAATGTCCAGCATCCTCAATATAGCCCAAACTTTCTACAATTTGAATTCAATAAAAGTCAATTTCGATAAATCATATTAAGTTACTGATAACAACCACACCGAATCAATTATCTTTCGCAACCCCCATGATAATTCATCCTTTGAATGCAAAAATATCTCACCTAAGGACTTGACCTGATATCTTAGTGTATGGATCTCTGCTCAATATAATAAGAAGTTTATTAAACACCAAATTTCCTCAGAAATTGCCTCTTTCTGAGATAAACTCAGATTCAAATCATTAACTGACAAACAATTGCGCTACTTAAACAACATGGTTCTCATTCCTCGTTTGGAATACAGATCAAAACTCACTATACTTTTTGAACTCGAAAGTGACTTTCTCTATAAACCTATGCGAAGACTTATTAAACATAAATTAGGACTCAGGCTCAGCATTCCTAATTCGATTCTTCATAACAAATTAGCCTACGGATTTAATGATCTAGTAGCTGTATCTCAAACTTCCAAAATACAACAGTTTATTAATATAGTCAATTCTTTAGTCAACAATTCTATTTTAGGTCTAACGACCATTATACATCTCAAATAACTCTAACAACATTTTTGGTTATACAATAACCTCTAGTCTGTTGGCCCTCATCTTTCAAATATTATCGACATACTAATTTTCTCTCCAATTTTTTCACTATTTACCATGAATCTGATTTCTCGTTTATTAGTTCCTCAAGAATGATAAAACTTTTTCAAATCAAAGGTGGATTAATTCCTCTCCAAATTATCATACCTTGGTATTCTAAAGATATACATAATATTCATTCAAAAAACATCCTTTTCCTTTCTCAGATTGTTGCTACAGGCAAATTCCTCTTTAACTATCATGACATTCAACTTAGATCTTATTCTTCAACAAATTTCAACGGTATTACACCATGTTGGTTTAAAGTGTTAAAAAAATAGTTCTAGCTAATCCAGTTTACTCTAACCGTCTTAAACCAGAATTCTGTTTCGAAACTCAAGCATTCAATAATTACAACACTTCTTCATCTATTGCTGATTTTCAATGGAACACTGGCTGGGTCAATCTATAGACCTCTCCCAAATATGACATATACAAGTTTCTGAATCTAGGCTCACCAATATTTGGAAAGGTTTTCAAGCTCGTTTCTCCTGCTCCACCTTGTCTTTTCCAGCACTTCATTTTATCGAACCCTACCAATGATCCTCTTTCACTATCAAAGAGATCTGATATGCTCATTTCTTGTACCGATTGCTCTTTTAACAAAAACTGAAAATGCTTTAAAATCAAACCAAAGTTTAAAAAGCTGCCCTGTGCTAATTTTGTGGATCCATTATTACCAAATCCTATTTCTACATCTCCTTTACTTCTAAATAATAGAAAAAATTTTTATGTTTCTAAAAGATCATTATGGCCGATTATGGATCAAGCTGTTGCTAGATTCTGTTCCATATATACTCAGTCCATCCCAAATATTTTGCCTGACAACCTTAGTTTAGATTTGGATATTTTAACTATAGAAAGTTTTTTTTACTTTAATAGATTACATTACTACACTTAACAATTTTAGAATTAATTTATTTTTTGAATAACAATTAGAATTTTATACTGATGGTTCTCATCTGTTTTTACCTTCTCCTTTACAAACCCATATTAGTTCTGCCTTTTTATTAGTTCACAATACTTTAGATATTAGTTTTGCTGCTGCTTTGCCTCTGATTTGTGCCAATTCTACTAACGCTAAAATTTTTGCTCTCTTAATGACTCTTTTCATATGAACTTTTGGCTTTTTTGTTAAAATTCATACTGATAGTCGTTCCATAATCCTGTCATATAATTATTTACTACAAAACAATATTTGTTCTTACCTCTCGTTGCTTTTCAAAACCCAATTTTACATACACTGGTATTTTATCTTCAAGCTCATTGAATAAAAACAATTAACTTTATCCTTGGTAAAGTTAAAGCACACTCTAGAAATCCTTTCAATAAAAAAGTAAACTGTTTGGCTAAATTTATTCTAACTGATTCTCTTACCTCTCTCTCCTTCTCACGCGTTCCTTATTTCTCTTTCATCCCTACCTTTCAATCATATCCTATCAACAAAGAAATATGACCCTTTTTAAAGACTTCATCAACTCTAAATCTTTCTGTAACTTTTATAATCTTCAAAGAAATAACCATTATAAAAATAAGCCTGTTAATTGGCTCTGCACTTTTAATCTCATCAATTACGACTCGAATAATCAAACTTCTTATAAAGAATCATATTACCATAAATGAAGATACTAATTCCTTTTGGAACAAATGCCTACTGTGGAATTTCTTAAGCTCACTTTACCCAATATTTATGATTCTTCTTGGAAATGCTATCGTTGTAACACCACAGTTGAAACATTCACACATATCTGGGCCTGCTCAGAGGTTCGACCCACTGTCATTAATATCGTCACTACCAGTATCCAAACTCTCAAAGATCATCTTTTTATCTATACTTCTTCTAATAATGTTCACCTGAATTACAACAAATTCTCGACCCATCTCATCCTTACTGGTCTTTTCCTCAACCATTCAATTCCCCTTTCACCCTTATCAACTTCATCAAAGAAATCGCACCTTCCCAATTTTATCTTCTCATCAATAATTTCACCAACTGCAAAACCAAAACCCTTGTTATTCTTTCTGCTTTTTATGATCATCTTATTGAACAATCTATTACTTTGATATGAAAACCCAGATATACTTTAACAGATGAAAAGGAGTTATCCTTCAACATTACAAACAAAAAAAAAAGAATGACATTATGTAGCTCTAAACAGACTTCTATACCACACCCGTCTTCCACCTTTGATAATAATATAAATCATTTACAAACTTTTACTAACTCTTTTATTTATGGTAGATCTTGAGCTCTTTTTAGCGCAATAAAAACTAGTTATCTCAAATGATTTCCCCTACTGTCATGTGTTGACATTTTTTCTCTTTGCAGTTAATTTTGAGCATGACAAGATAACCGGTTGGTTTGGTTGGAGTTGGTTCATCCCTTCAAGGAAAGCTAAGCAGCTTTTATTTTATTTTTTCTACTTTTGTATTCTCTTCTGGGATTTTCTTTTTATTTTGTAATTTGAATTTGAATTTTTAATAAATAAAGGCTTCACTACGTCTAAAAAAAAAACACATCTTTAATTTTATTTAATATACTTTTTTTTTATATTCTAATAAAGTTGTTAATATAATTACTATGTAATTTATTATAATCAAAAAGTTAAATTTTAAATTATAAATTTTTTTGCAATTACATTGTTCAACAAATTAATTTTAATTTTTTTTATCTGTTCAATTACTTCAAAGAGATATTTGAGCACTTTGGACAAAAGAAATTGATTTTTTCGCATAAGTTAAATTGCTCAGCAGGTTTGAAAATATGTATATATAAATTTTTATTATGATTAGATTAATGTTATAAAGTTATAAATATTTTCATGATTGTATTATTTCACAAAATATTTTTATTCTTTTTATTTGTTTAGTGAATTTAAAGGGCAATTTAAGCATTTTTGTCAAAGGAAATTAACTTTGGTTGCATAAGTAAAGTTAGTCAGCAGATTCGAAAATATATGTATATAAATATTTATTATGATTGGATTAATAGTTGTAAAGTTATACATATTTTTATAATTGTATTATCTCACAAATATTTTATTTTTATTTTTTATCTTTACAGTGACTTCAAAGAGTAATTTATGTATTTTGGTCAAAGGAAATCAACTTTAGTCATGTAAGTAAAGTTGTTCAGTGGGTTCACAAATATGTGAATATAAAATATTATTATAATTGAATTAATAGTTGTAAAGATATGCATATTTTCATAATTATTTATCTCACGAATTTTTTATTTTTATTTTTTATCTGTATAGTGACTTTAATAAGATATTTGAGCACTTTGGTCAAAGGAAATCGACTTTTGGCTTGTAAGTAAATTTGCTCGGTAGATTCATAAATATGTGAATATAAATATTTATTATAATTGGATTAATGATTGTAAAGTTATGAATATTTTTCATAATTGTATTAGTAGTTACCTGATTTGCAGATTTATCGTAACTTGTAATTTTAAATTCTGCAGTTAAAATAATTATATTAGTATCTTTTTTTTTGA